AACTATACAATTCAAAATTCAGGTTTAAAAGTTTTTTATACAAAAATCGGGTGATAATTTAATTTTTTAATATTATAAAAATAAATTAATTTACATAACCAATCAACTCCATCCAACCCAAACGTTAACTGTGACCCTGAATCATTTTTCTTTTTTCCCCCCCTCTCTCTCATCCTCTTCCCTCTTCTCATTTTCCACCGGAAGCTACCGTGGAGAGATCGTCGTCGAGAGACCACCGCCAATGCACGATGTCGCCGGTGAAGCTTATGGCAACCTTCGGTCCGCTGCAGATCTGGCTTTTCTCTCTTCTTTTCTCTCCTCTCCTCTCGCACTTCTCTTCTCTCCCTTCTTTCACTTCGACGCCGACAGCCGACGACGAAGGAGATGCGCCGGAGGGGTGTGTGCGTGATTGGCAGCGCTGCACGTGATTTGTGAAAAAGCTGTGCGTCCCACCTTTTCTCATCTCTATCGCAACCTTGGCAGCGTTGCAGATCCGTGAAGAAGCCTTGCGACGCTGCACGTGATCTGTGAAGAAGCTGTGTAGGTTGTTATTGGTGGGTTGCAAAATGGCGGTGGCGGAGTGAGGGTGGTTACAGATGGTGATCTTGGTCATGGTGCTGGTGTTGGTTCAGGTGGTGCTATTGTTGGTGGTGGAAATGGCGGTTGCGGTGGTACATTTTGTTCTACCAAAAGGTTAAACATCATTTTTGGATATGGTTTTTCCGATGCAGCGACGATGTTTGAATTTGGTGGCACGATAGGGATGGCAAAAAAAATTCGTTTAACTCGATACCCGTGAAGTCCTGCCCTGAATGGGGCTGGGATTACTCGTCTAACCGGGTAAACGGGCTGGGATTACTCGCCTAACCGGGTAAACGGGGCTGGGACGGGACGAGGTTCATTGCCTCGGAGCAGGTATGGGAAACATAATCCCTGCCCTGCTACTCACCCCGTTTAAAGTTAATTTCATTTTTAAAATTTTTATCAAACAAAAATAATAGATTTATCATCATTTTTTAAGAGAACATAAGTTGTTTTTAATAAATTGGTAAAAAAGTAATACTATTTACTAACTAAAGATGTAAAAAA